TGGTTGACAGGGAGAATGGATAGTGATTCTGAAGAGGATAATGATCTTGTCTTTGGTGATGACTCCTTAACATGGGGTGATGTTTCGAGAGCTGCTGGAGCATAAGAACCTGCCTATCATTCTAGAGCAAGTACGTCAAGGTCAAGAAGTAGGACTACGACTGGAGCTTCAAGTGCTTCTCAATCCACACGACCCACACCCATACAATTGATTGATGATGAAGATTACACCGAGGAGGAAGATGCTGATGGCTACAAGTCTAATGATGAAGAGAATAAAAATGATGAAATTGAAGGACTATTTAGTGATGATGAGTTTGATCTTTAGATTTTCATTTTGAACTATCATACTTATACTAGTTTAGGATCATTTTCATGTTTTTGTGGACAATTGATTCTTTATGCTAAGATCTTTGATGTTTTCTAATCTTGTTTGGTTTTTATATGTTTTATATGTGTATATATATTTTTTTATTTGTTTTTATATATAGTGCGCCTCGCCTAGAAAAGCCCGCTCTTTTTTTTGTGCCTCGCGCTTAAGTTCCAGAGGTCTATTGAGCTTTTGTGCGCCTCGAGCTTTTTAAATCATTGATCACACCTTGTCAAATGGGATAATCTTCGCCTGCCTATGGAGCAAGGTAGTCTCGGTCTACATAGGATGAGAGACAAAAATAGAGCTTTACTTGCAAAATGGATTTGGTGATACCAAGGGGAAAAAACAGCTATGTGGAGATGAGTTATTGAGGCTGAATACTTCCGAATCCTTTAGTGCCAAACTTGGATCCAAATCCATCATGCATGTGGCCCATGGAAGAATATTTATAAGCATCGGCATCTCATACATGATCGTACAACTTCTCAAGTTAGAAATGGGGCTTCTACATCTTTTTGGTCTGATTCTGGGGCTTCTACATCTTTTTGTCGGATGCTTGGCTGCTCGGTTCCCCCTTGTCGACAATCTTCCCTCAACTCCACTCTGTTTCTCTTAGAAAAACAGCATCTGTGAAGGACATATGGAACAATGAACTTGGCTTTTGGGACTTGTGTTTCAGGAGACATCTCAAGGATGGCAAAATTGATGAATAGGTTATTCTCTCCAACCAGCTTTCTAATGTTCGAGAGAAGACTCTTGGTTATGGTCCCTAGACAGCAAGGTTATTCTCCATCAAGTCCCTCCTCGTTGACTTGGTCAGAAAGGAATACCTCATCCCTTCCCCCCTTGGAAAAGCTATATGGTGTGAAATCTACCCAAAAAAGATTAAATTCTTTATATGGGAGCTTTCTCGTAAGGCCATCAGGATAGATTACACCGGAAGCTCCCCAATTTTGCCATTTCTCCCCAGTGGTGCATCCTTTGTAAAAGAGATGGAGAATCATAGTCTCACCTCTTCCTCACGTGCCCCCTTGCAACGTTGTTCTGGAATGAGATTTTACTAGCTTTCAATTGGAAAGTGGCTCTTCCGATTGATATCATAGATTTACTCTAATATGTTCTTGTGGGCCATCCTTTCAAGAAAGAGGAGGCGATCTGGAAACACATTCTTTGAACCTTTTTTTGGACAGTTTGGAATGAAAGAAACCATAGACTCTTCACAGAAAAAGAGCTCTCTTTCACTAGACTATTTGACAATATCATTTTTCTTGTTATATCTTGGTGTAAAGCATCTCCACTTTTTTACTCTTATGATATGATTTCTCTTTTGACCAATTGGAGAAGTTTCATGTAACTCTTTTGGTTTTGGGGCTTTTCACACTCCCTCTTGTAATTTCACGTAGTAATGAAATTGTTTCTTAACAAAAAAAAAAAAGAGAAGTTTTCATCTAAATTCTATTTTTTGTTAAATGGTCAATAAAATTTAACAGGAAGGATGAAAATAATTTTTTTTTTGCAAATTTGAGAGATTAAACGAGAATGGCAGAACCAGATGAGGAATTGAAGTATAACTTTTGAGATTTTACAACTGTAATTTCTTTTTTCCAGCAAGCATTTATAAACTTTTGAAGTTTCTTTTATTGCAGTCAAATTAGGGGGCATGTTGAACAAATGAGTCTTCCTCTTCAGTCTTGTGGAGAGGACATGCTTCAGTTCCGCAGATGTCTGGCTGCTTCTTTTTTTCTCAATGCAGCAACAAAGCAGCCCGATGGAACGTATAGGTATCGATCCTATCTTATACTTTGTATCGATTTCGTAATTATGCTGTTTGTAGCTTAGACTTTTAGATTGCTCAAGAATAATTGAATAGACCGTTTTATGTTGTAGGCATGATATGTTCTTCATGTGGTTCTAGTTTCTTTAAGCCTTAATATATCACACACTTGACTGAAAATGCAGGGATTGTGCAAGCGGTGAGGCAGTACAGATTCACCCTTCTTCAGTGTTATTTCGCAAAAAACCAGATTGTGTAATTTTCAACGAATTCATTCAAACTAATCATAAGTACATCCGCAACCTTACTAGAATCGATCGACTTTGGCTGACTGAACTGGCTCCTCATTGTTATGCGTTGCCGAATTAATCAATGTACTCGAACAGGTATTGAACTACATCTTGTGATTATTTTTGCAGAATGGTTCTAGAGTAATTGGGAAAAGAAAATGTACTTGGGGAGAGATTAAAGATAATTGTTAAGCTAAAAACAGTGATAAATCACCTTTCAATTGCTTCCCACAAAATACTTCTTAGTACAGTCTGCAAGTCTTGCTAAATATTTCTCATATGCCATGTCTCTTTTTTATTGTCTTGCATAACTTATTATATGTGAAATTTGCAGTTTTAAGATTGTAGCCGCAGTTATCTTTTAGTATGATTCTGTAGATGTTGGGTATAATTCTTGACTGGTAAATCACTGATTTCAGGAACTTTGTCCACAGCCAGTGAGTGTTAATTTAAAATTTTGAAGCATTAGCCAGCCATGGGAATGACAACGAAGCCCTCATGGACCTTTTTTTTTTTCTTTTTTTTCTTCCCCCTTTTCGCCATTTTTTTGGATCGGGATCGGGATTGGTATCGGAATCAGAGTAGGGTTAGTTCAGAAAATTTCCCCATGGGGTTGAGTTGTCATATTTGTAGGACAATTATGTTGTATTTATAATTATATTGGTTTTATAAATATAAATTAATTGGTCAATCTTATCCTCGCTCAACTTTTTTTAATACATTTCTAAAAAAGTGAGCATGAGTAATAGAAATATCACAAAATAACAACTTAAAAGGTCAATGTGGTATGTAATTTAGATTTTGTTTCTTATTTTTTGATTCAGCGATTACAGATTTGCTCAATCTAAAACTGTAGAATTCATTCAAAAAGAAACTTTGATAAATATACTATTTTATATTATAAATTTATTTAATTTTTTGTTAAAATTAAAACAGGATATATATTATATAATATAGTACAATAATAAGTCTACAAAATTTATAATATATTAATTAATTACTATTATTTTAAATTAAACTTAATTGGTAACTGCATTGAATTGATTTTATAATGACAAGCAACTAATGCAATAATATTAATAACATTAAAGCATATATATAAATAAAATACTAACAAATTAAGAGACTAAATGAATGATATATTCATAATTCATCAAACATCAATTGATATGTCATATCAAGCATGAAGCTAACTCAAACAAACCGAATCTCTGTGCGAGGATACGTCGGGCTTTTTTCTTTATGGGATGGGAGTCTCTCTCTGTCATTGATGGTTTCTTTAAAATCTCTTCGATTCTGCTTCTTTCTTCAAATTTCTTCCATCTCCACAATGGCAACTATCGATTTGTCGGAAGAATGGAAAATTTTCAAGCTAACTTCTAAGGAGGAGGTCATTGTCGACATTGATGCTCCTGCTTCAATAGAAACATGCTCTAATTTGAATTGCAGTCTAGTAGGTAAGCTCTTTCTCAAACGTCCTGTGTTCTTGTCCAGTGTTGAAAAGTACACTATGTATCGCCTGGAAGCTAGACAATGGCTCCTTTTAGTGGAAAATATCGATTGGAATTTATTCCTTTCAACTTCTCTCGGGGCATTCATCGGAATAGAGTCTTTCACACCGGCCCTTGGACTTTTGACAAAGTTGTGCTTATGCTGATTAAGCTAGTCTCCAGAGTTCAGCCTTCAGATCTGGATTTTAACAAACTGGCGATATGGATTCATTTCTTTGATATTCCACTGGATTGTATGAATAAATCAATGGCGCTCAAGTTAGGAAATGTTTTGGGAACCTTTGAAGATGTTGACTGTGATGAATCAGACTGCTGTTGGGGATCCAATCTCAGAATTCGAGTAACGCTGGACATATCCAAACCCCTTAGAAGGGGAATCAAACTCAATCTTGATGGTCCTATGGGAGGTGTTTGGATCCCCATCCAATATGAACGTCTTCCTGACTTCTGTTTTCATTGTGGCAGGGTGGACCATACTATCAAGGATTGTGCTCTGTGTTTTAATAATGAAGGAAACCCCTGTTTGCGCACCAAGCATCCCTATGGACAGTGGCTTTGTTATCAAGGTCCGTTAAGGCAACAATCAACACCCGTGCAGAAGAGTGGTGAACATCCGACTGGAAATTTTGATAGCAACTTGGCCCATTCTGGTACTAAGAACCCGAACGACACAATCAACCAATTAGATTCCCCTTCTCCGGCAGTAGCATCTCCGGCAGGCCCTCCGGTAACAACATCTTAAACGGAAAATTCAGCATTAATGACATCGGTTTCCAAATCTGGAATCTTCATGAATTCTGCAGCATTTATGGTGGCTTTGAAATTGCAAATTATTTCTCCAATAGTTACGGAATCTCCGGATCGAATTATAAATGCAGATCCTAATGTGGCTAGTAATGTCAACATTCCTTCTAAGGAATTCAATTTACCATTATGTTCTGACCCTCCACAATCATCAATTACCACAATGGATGCTAGCCCCATTTTTACTGGTAATTTACGTCGTTGGAAGCAAAAGGCAAGGGCTATTCACAACAGTAGTTCACCCTTCGGCCCAAGTCTTAATATTCGAGAAGCGCAACTTCAGCCTACAAATGTTGGACCATCTAAGAGGAAGGTCTCCCCACATCAAAAAGCCTCTAAACTAAAGAAGCAGAAGTTACAACAGGTCATGTTTTCAACCACGTCAGAGGACAAGATTAATGAAGCGGCGAAGGTTGCTGAACAACCTCGTCGAGTGCCATGAAGACCATTTGTTGGAATGTTCGGGGGTTGGGGGACCCACGAGCATTCCGTGTTCTATGTGACTTCTTGGTTCACGAAAACCCTCATGTTCTTTTTCTTATGGAATGAAATGTAATGACACTTTAACAAATAAGTTGAAACTTGCTCTAAATTTCTAGGGTTGTTTTACCGTGGATAGTTTGGGCCTCAGCGGAGGTCTTTGTTTACTTTGGAAGGATTCTGTTGATATTACAATTAGATCCTTCTCCTATCACCATATTGACTGTTCAGTTATGTTGAATAATATCTCATGGCGCTTCATAGGTTTCTATGGACATTCAGCGAGCCATAAACGCCACCTCACTTGGGAGCTTCTTCGTAGAATTCATAATATGGATGATTCTCCCTGGGTGATTGGAGGGGATTTCAATTCTATCTTACGGAGCTATGAAGCCTCTCAATCTAGTTCATATGATTCCACACATATTTCCGCCTTCAGGAATTTAGTGGACCACTGTGGCCAGACCAATTTACTTGGTGCAATAACTGCTTTGCTACTTCACAACTTTGGAAGCGTCTTGATCGTTTTTTATGCAATGATTCTTTCTACTCTCTTTTTCCAAGTGCTCATGTCACTCATCTCAATTGGTCAAAATCTGACCACTGAGCTATTGCAATGTATCTATTTACTCCTCCTTACAATTGTGGCTCGAGGAATAGGAAACCATTCCGGTTTGAGGAGTGTTGGTCACGGAACCCGTAATGTGCACAAATTATCAATAGAGAAGGCGTTTGGTTAGCTCCGGTTTCCTCTCTTTCTTTTTCAGATAGTATTAGTGCAACTTCTTCTGCTTTGCGTTCTTCGGGTCGGTCAAATGTCAGGGAACTTTTTAGACAAATTCGAACCCAAAAAGCAGCCATTGCAAATGCTTATAATCAGCCTCATCCGCTGAATTTTTCTATTATTCATATGTTGGAGGATGATCTAGCTGGTCTTCTTGAATTGGAGGAGATATACTGGAAGCAAAGATCTCGCGAAGAGTGGCTCAAATGGGGTGATTGTAACACGAAGTGGTTCCACAAAAAAGCTTCCATAAGGAAAGCTTGTAATGATATCCGAGGAATTGAAAATGCTCATGGCACTTCGAAAAAGGACATGGAGGAGATTGAAAGTACTTTCATCTCGTACTTTCACTCAATCTTCACTTCTTCTAATCATTCGGACACTGATATTAGTGCCATTACAAATCTCATTCCTACTCGAGTGCCGCCAGAAGTGAATTCCCGTCTACTTGCCCCTTATGGACGAGAAGAAATAGAAATTGCAATTAAACAGATGTTCCCGACAAAAGCTTCTGGTCCTGATGGATTCCCCGTTCTTTTTTATCAGAAATATTGGGATATTATGGGTCCAAAAACTATTGAGGCTTGCCTAAATGTTCTTAACAGCAATGGACATATTCGTGCTTGGAACAGAACATACATTGCCTTATTGTGAAGGCTAAATAGCCAGGTCAGTCTTTGATTATCCCCCCATCAGTTTATGTAATGTCTCTTATAAGTATTGAGTTTTATGCCCTAAACTCGTGGTTTGTAAACATAAAACAAACATTCATTCAATAAAGTTGTTAATGATAGAATTGCATTAACCCAAATCCAATAAACTAACATCCTAGGTTATGTGATGTAATTGGAACAATATATAACAGATATGCAATATGTATTTAATATACAACGTATATATTTGATATACATTATATATTCGATATACAGGTGGATAATGTTCCAGTAGTAACCTAAAGGGTCTATAGTATATAGATAAGGCTGGCTACCTTATCCTGGTAACACTATGGATACGGTCCACTTTGTAATAGTTACAAATGACTTGATTCAGGTCATTCATGTGGAGACGTGCGAGTTGGTGTATCCTATACAATGAGTTTGTATAAGACTGGACCACGAAATAATTAAGCTTTAGCTGTAATACCGTTAGCTAATAGATTAATATTTCAATAGGATGACTAGGTAACTCAATCTCAATCCTGAGTGAGTTATGGACTCCTGCCTATTAGAGCTCGTCCTTTGATTTGTATGGGTGAGAGTGGCTCGAGTCGCTGACTCAATATGCCTACCATTTTGGGGACGAGACTGAATGGGGAGCTGGAAACATAACCACACAAGATGAAATTCACTCATTCCCGACTTCAGGTAAGTAGATGAGTGTTCTCTTGAGTGCTGACTCTAAGACTTGAACAAGGGGCCTTACCCTCTCACTGGCCCGAGAGGGACTTCTGGTTATTGGTTGGACCATAACTGGATTGTTCATTAGAGGATCAGCGGTACTTAAGGGATAAGATGTAACATAGGGGTAAAATGGTAATTTGACTCAGCTGTGGTTACGAACACTCGTGAATGATTGACTTGTCGTTAATGGTCAAAATCCACGGACGCAAAATATTCTACAGTGAGAAGAGTGCAACTTTGGGTCTTTAGTTGAGTGACCGACAGTTAACGAATGTTGATTAATATGGTTAATGAGTTTAATCAATTAATCTTGTATCGTTGGAGCTTCCGATCTGTAGGTCCATTAGGTCCCCTTGCTAGCTCCTAAAGGATAGTTAAGAACAATTAGTCTTGAAAAGAATTTGAATTGTTCAAATTAGTTAAAGGGAATTAAGGTTAATTGTATGAGATGCAATTAATATAATGTATGTTGATACATTATAATATAAAGTTGATTTTGAATAAGATTCAAAATTATGAGAGATGAATATTAGAATTTGATTCTAATATAGTTGATTAATATTCATTTAATTAAATTAATGGGATATGTTAATTTGATTAAATTTAATTAAATTAATATTTATTTTTTGTAATTAATTAAATTAGATTTAATTAATTATTAATTTAATAAAAAATGTTTAAAAAAAGGGAAATAATGGGAG